CCATGATATAAAGATCTCTTTATTTAGATGGGAGCGGGCAGCAGAAAGACGAAAAACTAAAAATTTTTTATTTGTTGGACACATGCAATTGGCTTGTCATAAAAAAAAATGAACGGTCACCAACAATCTTTCTTAAGCAGTCAACCAGTATTATTAGCCGGTAAACATCAATCCCATTGAACGTCATAGCAGACATTTCACGTTATACAGAACATTAGTAAATAAAAAAAAGTGTAGATTTTGATTTACATATTCTAAAAACAAGAATGCAATTTTTTGTACACTCTGCAAGATTTATCAGAAACATGGTGCTGCCGTTACACCATACAACAGAATTCATTAATTGGAAAAAAAGTTTTAGGAAGATTAACTGAGCGCGAAAGCTTCTGGAATCCACAGAGGTGCATGATTAAGTGGAAAATTCGAGTACAAGCAAATGAAATGAGGCAACAAATGAATGCACAAGGCATACGATCACGACACTGAGCGACTCATTCACACAGAGAAAGAAAAATGGAGAGAAATTCTATATAGTCATGGATGCGGTACTATATCTTTCAACAAACTGTCGTTCTTTTCTTGGGTCTGATGAAATCCCAAGTAGCCTGTTCACAAAGTGTCCTCGACCTAGCGAAGGAAATTTTCTGAATTTAATCTCTCCGCTTGCCAAATATAATTCAACTCTTAAGTACCAGTCAAAGCACCTAACAAAGAGAAAGGAATCATATTTACCCCATATGTGTCTCATACAGAAAAAAATGAACTAGGTGACTCAATACGTAAAACCATGTGGTGATCATTGTGCGAGAGGTAAAGGAAAATTTAATTGATTTCATAGAAGTTGGTGGAAAGAGATAGGAGAATGTATTTCTGAACGCATTGTAGAAAATTAGTGTTCTTAATTGACACTTGATGGTTTAGATATTGGACAATGTCGGTGTCAGTCTTACGACAACGGAATATGGCTGGCATTTCTAAAACAGTACAAGCTAGAATTACACAAATGAATAAGCTGGATGAATTTGTGCCATGTTTGGCTCACTCCTCGTATTTTGTCAGTATGCATTCTGCTTCTTCGTGCCCGGAAGCAGTTAATCTGTTTGGAATTACTCAGAAAATACTCGCTTTTTTGTCGGATGCACTACTCGACAGTATATTATTAAAAAATGTACAAAATACAACTTAAAAGGAAGCAGCCAGACGAGATGATGGTCAGAAAAATATGTGGCTGTGAAAGTCCTTCTAATGAATTTACCAGAAATATTCAAATATTTAAAAGAAATTAAAGATATTTCTCTTGATGCGGAATCAAAGCATGAGGTTAGGACATCTGGTTACATGCTGTGAAAAATTTTGAATTTCACTGCCAACCTGAAAATTTGAGCTAATATTTTTCCAGAATTCAATTCGAATAAACATAGAAATTCAAAAGGAAGTTCCTCTTCCGCGTTCTGCGTAAGTTAACGAAAGAACTAACTGACCAAAAAATTGAGGAATTATAAAAAATGAGAGAGAAAAGTCCTTATGGAATATTGGATACAAGCGCCTTAAAACAGTAGCCAAAAAAATTGTAGTCGAGTCTATTCGGACAAAGAATTCAAAAGCACAAAAAGCAATCTGATGAACTGTTTGAGGATGAATCACGAACACTTCAACCAGTTCAGATCGAAGTTTCAGCAAATTAAAACAGATAAAAAAATATCTACGATCATCGGTGAGCAAGAGCGTTTATCAAGTCTTGCGATTCTGGCAACCGAATATCAAACCACAGATCAAATTATGATGATTCCATGCACTTATTTGCAGAACAAAAGGCTTACAGTGTAAAATTTTAATTTTCGTTACTAATTCCGTGATATTTTAATAGCATTAAGGCAGGTAAGAACTTAAAATTACTTATGGCATAGAAAGTATCAAAAACAAGACAGGAAGCACGAACACTCTCAGTAATAGCCCATATTCTGTATAATCTTTTTCAGAATATTTCCTTTTGGCAATAGCCCATATTTTGTATGTAATGGTTCCATTAGTGGCTGAGCAATAAAAGCCGCTGAGCACTAGTAGTTCGGTCTGAGGGTCAAGTATAGGTGAATGGGCTCGCTGTAAGAATATTTCCGTGATTTTCCCCGTGTGTAACATAAATACAAGCCAGGTTTTTCTTACAAAGTTTTTTCCACGGGATATTCCTCCTTTTCCATGCAGAGCCTAATGGCGAAACACATAGTAAATAATCAAACAAATGTCCTCAGCAGTGGCTGAGTGATTAAGATCGCTGTATACTGGTAGTTCGACCTTGCCTGGGTTTAAACCCAGGCAAACAGGCTGGCTACATGGTTTGTTTTCGTGGATTTTCGCATGTGTAATGTGAATACGAGGCAGTTTCCTTTAAAATGTTCCTCCACGAAAGCACCTCTCCTCTAAGTAGATACCAGTCAGTCTCCTTAAAAATTTTTTCCACAAGGCATTCCTTCCTTTCCATGCAGTGCCTAATGGCAAAACTCATAGTGAATAATCAAACAAACGCCCTGAGCAGTGGCCGAATGATTAAGACCGCTGAATACTGGTAGTTCGACCTTGCCTGGGTTCAAACCCAAAAGAACGGGCTGGCTGCATGGTTTCTCTTCGTGGATTTTCTCATGTATAATGTGAATATGAGCCAGTTTCCTTTAAAAAGTTTCTCCACAAAAGCACCTCTTCTCTAAACAGGTAGCCCTCCTGTCTTTGCCATATTCATATAATCTAACCCAACCTAATTTAAACAGTAATGCAATAATACGGAATAGTGAGAAGCTTAGGGGTTGCCCGTTGTCCCTAGAAAGGAAAACGAATGGTGGTGAGGGCTGGAGGGTTAGAAGCATTCAGGATTGCCAGATTTGGCGATATGCCATAGATGGATAGATGGAGCAGGAATATTCTAGAACAAATTCTTATCAGTTTTCCCATGAATGTACTTGAAGCCAGGACAAAAGCTGTATACACCCTGCCTGTACACAGAGTAGGAGTGTCTTGAGATCAGTAGCAGAGTAGTGGAGTTCAGAGGTTAGCTTGCGAGCGATTGACTGGGTTGAGAGCTCTAATTTAATGGTTTGCTCTGAAGCTGTCTTCACCGCTAAAGCCTGAAGGCTACATTCCAGGTTGTTTCATCATGTTTGTCACAGTTTTTCGATGATTGTAGCGTGTCTTTGGAACTGTCCTGTGTAATACTGACAAATAAATTATGTTTTGTTTCTTCATCAAGTGTTGTCAATAATCACTCCAAATCCACGAACCCGAAGAATGCAACAATATATATAAACATGAATTTTCAATCCCCACCCCCAAATTAGGCTAATAATACAGCAGAAAAAGTGTATAATTAGATTTGGACCTTTCCATGTGCTGAAAAAAATAATGGAAAACAAATCGTATTATATGGCAAACTTTTCACATATCACACAGGATGTTAATAACTGGTACACTATTTCACTTTTATCTGGTTTTAACCTCAAATGAAAGGGCTGAGCACTTTTTTTTCGTCAGGTACAGTTGACTGCCTGACAAAGTAAATATAACTAGTGCCATCTATTTGGGAAAAGTTAAATACATTTATAAAAAATCATTTGCAACGGAAATAAAAATATCAGAAAAGACTTTGAAAATACAGTTAGCTTCAAGAAATATTAACTTCTGTATTCAAGATTTTTCGTTAATTTTAGCAGAAGGTGGATAGGCAATCAAAAGATTTTTTGTATTTGTATTGACTGCGTTTTTTAACATGAAATTTTAGTTTTTTTGATATGAACAAGATTAATTAAATTGCATTAAGCACAGATTCCAAGAACATATTAATTCTCTATAATTCCTAGTAATCTTTTAAAGGTCTTTTAAGATTGAACCATAATTTTCATTAACAGAGGAAAATTTTGCAGCTAAAGAGTTTTACTTTTACCTATTAGTAACACAAGTCAAGAATTGTGTGGTTCCAGATTTGATTTAGAGAACCTATAATGACTGGCATAAGTATCCACGCATAATTCTTACATGAATGTTCAGAAAATCAACAAGACAAAATTTCAAAAGTATGCTAATCTGAGAATAAAAGCAATTTTGATGTGCATAGAAATTTCTCACACATATGTTCTAATAGATAAGACAAACAGGTTAGATAATGTCATAAGGATCCCATTTGCTCTAGCTGTACAATGTTCAGAATATCAGCACCCTAATCTAAGACGATTCCTGGAAGAATACAGTGGGTTTTTTCCAAGACTTCCCACTCCTAAATTTCTGCTCCTAAATTACACCTGATTTAAACTGTCTGAGGATTCAGGCACATTGTTTCTTCCAGAATCACAATATCACTATTTCTTGTTACATGAAAGGAGGAGAAGCAGGATTATGAAAAACTGTAGGATGATTCTGGGGCATTGGGTAGTAATGTAAAGCCCTAGTCTGAATTAGAAACATGGAAGATGATAATCTGTCGCCAAATTGCATTTATTGATCAAGTGTAAATTGTTCTTCCACCAGTCAATCTTAAGGCGGAAACAAGAAGGGGGAAAACATCCAAATCCTCCTGTCCAGTGACTGGGAGTTAAGCACTGACAGAAATATTTAGGATTTGGTTTCTTATCCACATGATCACCAGCTGACAAAAATAATACAAACTGAAAGTGCGGTTAACTGACACACAGCTTTGAAAATTGCATCTGGGGGGGGGATCTTCTTATATGCAACTAAGGTGCAAAGATGTGGGCAAAAACTTGAATATTCTTAGTTTTACATACACATGTATTTCTACATGTATATCTAGCCCACCTTTGTACATACAAAGAAAAAAATTACACTGAAAATTTGGACTATGTAGCATTCCATTTCAGTGGACAGCATAGAAAGGGTTTTCTTTCATACTTAAAATTTGGTTTTTGCCTTCTTAAACACCCAAAGACTGCAAAATTATACATAATTACAGCATTATAATTTTAATGTCACTAAGCAAAGCAATAATAAAAAACACAACACAGCAGAAAATTAATTTTATTGTGTAGTAAAATACTAAACAGATTGATATGGGAAAGTGAAAATAGTAATAAATCTACATTACAAAAATTCACATCTTTATTTCATACAAAAAACTGCACTATATTTATAATGTTCATTTTGTGCATAACTGTTGATATGTCCTTTCTATAAATTATGGAACATATACTGAATATTTCTTCTGTGCCACACAGTATTGTTATTTGTATAGGTAGGATACAAAGTCCAACAGACTGCTAATGAATATTGATACACAAAAGCATATTCTTATAAAATTAAATAAGAATAATATGTAAACACATACATTAAATACAAGAGAGGGGCCTGGCATTCTGAGAGATACAATTTATATAATTATATATATATTTTGAAGACAAAACAGTAATAAATAAGTCATTTTTAAATTAAAGTGGTTAAATGATAATGACTTACTGCAAAGTGTGGATAAAAATCTTTTGTGAAAAGTTAGAAGTCAGGTAGACAAATGTTAGGAAGACTTTCAGAAGCACAATACTTTTTCCATAAATGCTGACAACGGTTTATTTCCTTTATTTTTAGGAGATACGAATGGAAGATAAATGCTAAATGTAGTAAGAAAGAAGCTTTCTACATTGCTGAAAACTAGAAATTAGTACACTTAGCATCCTTCATCACTCAGATATATTTATTCAAACATTTCATTACCAGCTTTATAATTAAAATATGAATAAAGATTAATATACCAAGTAACATACCTTACTGCATGAAGTAGCTATTAAATTTTCCTAATAATTTTAAAAGCTTGCTTTCAGCAATAATACAGTCGATTCACATTGATACAAACTTCAATGTAATAAAACATTGCAAAAGAAAGTCAAAACCAATGTCCCATTCGACAAAGGTAGTTTTTCTCTCAACATAAAAGTCCACTGATCAGCTATAATCACATTATAACGATCTTCTACAGGGACTAACTTCTCTTGCATGTAATTCCAGTTTACAATTAGAAAATTTTAAAAAATATAAGTTCAATTATGCACACTCACTTTTCACAAAATATATAGAATCAAGTTTAAATGGTTTTACACCATATTTAAGCATTCTTCAAAATTAAAAATAAGTATCATTTTATAATGATTCAGTTCTTTCACTCTCTTGAGATGAATAATAGATTTGCATTCAACTTCTGCTTCAAGTGCCTGTGCTTTATGCAAAAATATAGCAAATTCCCTAAAGCCATGTTTTGTTGCTCTTTTTACTGATCATCTCTTTCTACCACTCTTCAAAATATCATAAAAACTAATAATTTGAAGTTCAAGACAGGATCATATAAGTCTTGCCTTCAAATGAGGTAAATCACCACTCTGAGTGACATTTGGTAGAACTCAGCATGAACGATTTTATCCAAAGTACTTCCGCTCATTCAGAAGTACTCTCTTTTCTGCTCAAAACAATTATTTACTAATTATATATTTTTTCCCAAGATATAATTAATTGTTTTATAATTCATATTTTTTTAAAAGTTATATTAAGCAGAAATGCCTAAATAGGAGGTTTTATTTAATGAAATTTTAATTACTTGATTATTTATTTAAACTACTACTATGCATATAAACTACAATAACAATTTCTTGGTTACCTGAGGATTTAATGAAATACTTTATGAACAAATTATTTTTTTATTTTATGCAGCATACTTTTGTCAGTCCCTAGAAGGTGTTATAAGATTAACTCTTTCAACATCAAAGTTGCCCCAAATGCCCAAGCATTCGCTGGATGCCCGAAATGCCTGAATTATTTCATACCTAGTGCTTTCCCCCATCACGTTACTGCATTGCTTTCAGGTGTTATTAAATGACATGCCAATCATTCTTTTGAAGCGTCTAAAAGTAGTTCTGTTATTTTAATGCACCATCTTTTTTCTTTGTTTACTGTCAATGTTTAGCTTTTGATGCCGAAAGTTGCAAGTCCTGTCCCAAGGGGAAACTTCACACAGGGTGAAAGCGTCCAAGAAAGAAGTTCTTCTTTACTTAAGTAGGTTATGGTTAGCGCTGTAGTATTCAATTTGTCATGGGGGAAGGAAAGGCATTCCAGGAAAAATTCATAGACATGGGCATTTTCAATGTTTGGGGAAAAGAGATTTTGCTCTCTCTCGATACGAAAGAGTTAATTAACTTTACATTACAAAAACTTCCCAAACTTAATTTTAAAGAACAATATTGCAAAATGTCGCACTGAATTTAAGCATTTTATGCTTAAAACAGTAAACTGTATAACAACAAATCAATTCACAAAATTTAAAAGAAGTTTTCTGAGAGAAACAAAGCACATATTTTTGCAAGGACCAAATGCAGCAAATCTTTAATTAATGAACTCCCTAGTCGTTTTACCCCCCCAAACATGTGCATGTTCTGTTATGGCAACCCAAATGATGCATAATAAAATTGAAAGAAATTTCAGTGCATCTTGATGATGTCAAGACATGGAAAGAAATTCAGACATAATTACATATAATAAACAAATATTGTTAGCTGCAGAATATTACTAAATATCAACACCTGTCACTGGCTAAGAAAATAACTCAGTTAAGATTTTCATAAAATTTAGGTTAATTTCATGATTTGTTCATAAACTAAAGCGTGTAAAAGAACTAGTAAGTGTATGTATGCTATCAGATTAAGCATTTCCTGTAAATCAGCATTAAATCATATGTTGAAAGATTGTTAGAAATAAAAGTATAAAAGCTGAATAATGAAAAAATACAGCACTTTTCAATTTTTATTTCAGGCCCAAAATTAATAACTTAATTGTTCTGTCATATAAATGATTTCATTTTAGATTCTAACATAGTACTGACAATACTGCTTTAATCAGAGATATTGCTTTCACAACTGCTAAAAGGCAGGATTCATACTAAAAACGTAAATATTGAAACAAATATATCATCATTATGGCACAGTGGCATAGCCACAAGAGCTTGCTACCCAGATTGAAATCTAAGTTTGTCCCCCCTCTCAATACATAAGTAAATAACTAACAAATGTGAATATAGAGAAAAATAAATTACAGCTTTAAGTTCATTTTTTATGTAAAAGTTTAATTCCAACATTTTAAAATTATATTACTATTTTGCTTGTTTCAATGCAAAAGTTCAAAAGAACACCCTTCCACACTTGTTTCATTTCCTTTAGAAATACTGAATATAAAACTTTGAAATATTTTTATCTTAGCAAGATATTTTTCTTTGTTAATGTTACCAAATTCATAATTTAGTTTATATTTGTATTTTACTTAAAAAACTTTAATGGAGTAAAGAAGGTATAATGAGACCAAAGCTCTTGAAATCTCCTATTAATTTCTTTGAATACTATAGCTGGTGTAAAAACTATTTTCTATTTTACTTCTCAATTCCATATCACAATTCAGAATCATTTTATTTTTCACCTGCTCAAACAATGATATTACACATGGAAAAAGCTGCCCCCTACAAGCTATGCCACTGTATAGCTGAAAATCTGTACTAAGGATTTCAGTTCATTTTTCATAAGACTGCAATTCACTTTAAGTAGAAAAATAGCAGTTTAATACCTTTCCAAAAACTACATAATTCAATGTAACTGAAATTTAATCCCCCCCCAAAAAAAATAATAATAATCAACTGCATATATACGAAAAAACTTATACAATCACTTTTATATGTGCACCAATTTAATTAAGTTTCCTACAAATTCTGTGAGTATTACAATAAAACATAACCATAATAAATTCACACACACAATAAACAATTACAATATACATAATTTTTACTAGTTAAAATATTAAGGCAGATATTATAGTATAAAAATTAATACTGATTTGAAATATTTCAAATGTGTATTTAAAATATAGATAAAATTGCACTTTTCTGGTTAAGCTGTCATTGAAATTCAGTGTAAAAAGTACACAGAAATGTAGCATTAATACTAAAGTTTTCACATATGAGAACTAATAGCTGCTCATCATTCCTAGCATATCACAAGGAAGAACGAAGGAATAGCTTTTGCATTTGCTTTATAGTGATAGTATAAAGGCACAATCTATCATTAAACAATTGTTGTGGGAGCTTCATTTAAATTTTCACCTTGCAAAATTGTCTGAAAAAATATAAAAATACAAATAAGATTAAAAATACATAAAAATATTTAAATAAAAATAATTAAAAACATATGTTGTTCCATATTAACTTTAAAGGTATCACACATACTGTAAGAGAAGAAATCTCTTTTGAGACAGCTCCTATTCTTTCCACTGTTTCTTCCTAAAAAAAAGTAACTATGGTAATGGAAGATATGTTCTGTAATGTTACCATACAGAATGAGACAAACAGAACAGGAATCTTTATAAATCATATTTGTTTCATACAGAAATTACATAAAACCAAAAATTTTTTTAAAACGGAGTTGCAGCCACACTGCCACACAATGAAAATTTTTATTAAAATGACAGTTTTATGTTCTAAGATATCTTTAGTCAAGGCAATAAAATTGTCTGGGCAAACAAATTTAACTAAAGATTTATAAACCCCATATATCAAAACTAATTGAGAAGATATCTTATATGACAAAACAATTGCTACTATGTTGTTGAAAATAATGTTTTTATAATCTTTTGAATTATTTAGTTTTGTTTCAGGTCTTAATTACAACATCTATTGTGGGATGATCTATTAAATGAGACCACAGTGAAGACCTGATCTATTAGATCAGAATGCACACATTACTTTTGTAATAATACTGTTTTTAAAAGAATTTAAAAAAAACCCTAAAATTTCCCTTTAACCCTCTGAGCGGCCAGGGTTTTCAATAAGAAAGCACAAATTTCCCAAAACTACTATGAGAACAAAGTATTTTTTTTATTTTAATGTAAAAACTCTCCTGGTATTTCATACTTTGATTTGTTTTCTTTTGATATATTGCCTTAATTTCTTTGACATACTTTAATATGCACATATATATACGTTCTTACAGATATCACAAAAAATATTCTACGCCGTATATATACCGCCTTGCCGCTTAGAGGGTTAAAGCCCTTTATTTTAATCAGTAAATAATTTTGCAGTTGCCAAAAAATATTTTTTAGATTATGGTAAGTACATTTAAATTACTGAAACAATGTTACATTAATTAAATTGGAAGAAAATTTGAGGACAGTACTGTACTTTAAATGCATGCGTATTTACCAATCAATGCAACTTATAAAAAATGCAAAATAAAAAAAAAAATCTATTATTTCTATTATTAAAAAAATCTATACTAAAAAAAAATTCTAGAAATTGCTTTCTATAGTACTGTCATGAACAGTGCCTAGCCACAGAGAATTTCTTCACTCGAATCTTTGATATTTTCATTTTTAGCAACCTAATATTTTTCAAGTAATCTTTTAAAACCATGCAAATTTTAATTGGCATAATTCCCCAATGAAAGTAGTTACCTAAAATTATCTTCTTGACACAGATTTGTTTCCTTGTTCATGTATTTTTAAAATGAGATCTAAGATGTTCATGTATTTTAAAAATGAGATCTAACTAAGATGCTTTGCTTTTATTATATTTTTGATTACAAGATGCAATAACCCATACAAAAATTTCATTTTTTTCTGAATTTTTACTCATAAAGCATTTTTTAAGAAAAGCTTACGGTGTGCTTTATAATCAACAAAAAATAAGGTACGCATTTAATTTCACAGTATAAGGCTAGTAAGAAAATGAACATAAAAAATGGAGATAACTGTTTTTAAGAATCACTGATTCAATATTATGGAACAAATTTTCACTTTTCTTCAAAAATGGAAGTGCAAAATAATTTAGCTACTAGAACATAGTTTATTCCATTAAAAGCCTATTTATTTATTAGCTGAAGTGTTGATTTATTTGAAGCAGCAGTTCACATGTTTAATATTTACAAATTCTTTGCACATTGTGTAACTGATTTTAAGCAAAATCCACACCATTAGCATGTAAATCAAGAATAATTTATTTTTGCACTTTTTTCATTAGCGTATCTTTAATTTCAATGTTCAGCAGTATGCCTAATAATAAAGTTTTGGTTTCAGTACGAAAATTCAGTCAAAAAGCTTCTGTTAAATGCATATCCATTTTTAATTACATAATAACAATATATTTTGTGCACAAATTATTTAAAGGACTTGCTACAACAAATTTATCTCAAAATCAACTAGTTTAAAATTGACAGAGAGGTAAAATTTTATTGAAATTTTCCTTTTCCATTTATTGTTCATGAAGAATATTGGCAACTTCCCATTCACATATAATTTTATACGCAGTTATGAGAGTGTTACGATTTTTACCTTTAAATCTAAATGTTTCTGCTCATGAGGAGAAGGGTCGCTATTCCTTCTTACGACTAATTTGTCACCATCTGAAAGCTTTGGAGCATCAGTAGCAACAGGAATATCCAATGGACAAACATAGTCTTCATTTTCAAAATCAGTTTTATTGCGCTTTTTCTTTAAGGCAAACTGTGTTTTTCGCATAACCTATTAAAAAAAAAATAAAAATAAATTGAAAATTTTTTAATCACAGTAATTCCTTTATTCTACATATCTGCCATCAGTCTGTACTGAAGTTGATCATACAATAAATAATAATTTACATCCACATTATGATCCTAATGAACCCTTTCAAATCAGAGCTTTTGATAGCAGAACCATTAGTTATTATGTATCCATAACTACAATCATACTATCTGCTGGACAACATTTCTTTATTTGTTAGAAACAAAATTGTGCAGTGTATTCTTCTGGAATGCACAGTTAATTTATTACTTTTCTATGACTGGCAGTAAATCATTTTGAAAAAAATACATGTTTGTGTGTAATTTATACCTTCAGATTGCAAAATTAATTAAAAGCCATTAAGCTGGCAATACAATAAAAATACATACTCATAAATGCTTTACAAAATTTTAGGTACAACGCTGAAGTTAGAAAAATTAAAAAAATATTACATATTATAAAACACATATTACATATTTTCCAGATAAAGCACAGTGCAGCCACAAAACTCATGCTCCCCAATTAGAAATTAATAACATGAGTTGCAACTTTGTAAATGCAGTCAGAAAGAATACTGTATAGGGATATCAAATGTTTAAAAGAGAAAAGCTACAAGGGTGTCAAAAACTGAAGAATATTTGATAAAAGCTAGTACAACTCTTTCTACAAAAAATAAGAAATTTCTATAAAGCCATTAGTATTATTTTCACAGCCATTAAAATTAAAAAACAGCTAATTCTATAGTACTTTGACATTACATCATTGGAAAAACTTAAAAGAAATGTGTACAGGTCAGTCTTCAACTTTGTGGCCCTATTACAGTAACGCAAGACCAAGGGCTAAAAATACACGTTTAGAAGGAGAAGTAGTCTTTATGCTTGTGCAAAATAGTATTCAAATAAATGTGCTATATAAAATGGAGTTATTTTGAAGCCAGTTTCCTAAAATTTATCAATATCATCTGACCATTCAACTCATAATTATAAAGCAGGAAAATAATGAGGAAATAAAGAATATTAAAATCTGTTATTTACTTTTCTGTGGTAAAGATATCAAGAGTGATTGCTCTATGTATATCAACACTGAACAACTGCATTATCTGTGAACATAACTAAGTGGAGTTTTTTGAAGATAAGTGTGGAGTTTACAGTATTTAGCACATATATGCCTAGCTGCATGCCATTTATTTAAAACCAGTTCTAATGTAAAGATGGAGTAATGTTCTATTTGTCAGCATTTTTTGGATTACTGACAACTTCAAATACAAATTAGTTAAAAGCATAAATAAGTAAAATAACATAAGAAATCCTGTAATTTCAAATTCGCATAGTAGTGTAAACTCCTCAAGACAAGGAACACAGAAGACTTTTATAGTCGTAAATTAAATATTTTATTTCATATTAAGAGACTGTTACTAACTTGGAACGTTTAGATATTATCACAAGTTACTCACAGAACATTTTCTTTAGATTAAAACACATCTCATTATTATGGATATATATAAGATTAAAATCCAATTCTAAAACCGATAACAATGAATATCGATATGCAACACACAAAGTATTACTGTGTACAATTTTGAAATTTACTCTAGTTTTTAAAAGCAAAAACAAAAAGAACAAAACCAAAATAATACATAATGATATAAACAAGAAATATATGAATTCAGAAAGATTCAACAGAAAATTCAAATTGAAAACCACTATTAATACTATCATCTATCTCGGACCGAACCACCAGTGTTCAGTGACTTTACCGCTCAGACGATGGTGGGCTCCTATCTATAGCAGTGTTGGAAAATTTTCTAAGAGAAAATTTAAGCTTAAGGCTTTCATAGCAAACGGGAATGGAACAAACAAGAAAACATTTGTGCAGAAATACTACCGTGATAGAAATACAAGCACATTTCATGAGAAAGTTAGCAAACATTGTTCAAAACTACGAGTTTACATGGGAATAAGGATTTTAAATTAAAGATCAGAGATTTGATTAAAGATGTGATCCCCATTGGGAATATTAAAAAAAAAGTAATGATGTTTAACTGTAAATGTAATGTGTAATATTCACAGCTTCACCACTTTAAAAATATTTGTGGAAAATATACTTCCCATGTAGACTCTGCAGTTATTCCTTAAAATGCCACAGACTGTTTAATATAACTTTGAATTACATTTTAGCATATTTACACACTTCACTTTGAGAGTACATTTCATTCAGCATAAATATGCTGTTTTCTATTTTAAACTTTCATAAAATACAGATTATAAAGCACATATTTTTAAAGAAATGTCTGTTAAATGCAATATAAGAACATTATCAAATTTATCAAACATTATCACTTTATTATACATAAGTTATCAGTATTATCATACGCAAACATGATTTTACACCAATAACAGTCAACAGTACTATACTGCTTAAGACACCCTCTATTAATAAAATTAATGGCCAAAAAATTTTAAAAAAAGTACCTTAATTTTCACACTAGGTGAGAGTGGAGTTTCAGTCTCCTTTTCTCTTTTCACCTGCATCAAGTCATCACCCACGATATGCTTGAAATGCGTAGCAAGGTGCCGCCTAAGTAGCGTTTTTGTAGGTGGAATGTTAAGAAGAGTAGCAAATAAATTTGTGTTGAATTTTGGTTCATAAACCTGACAGATATAACAGAAAAGAAACACTGTAACCACACAGAGATAATTTCAATCAGCAATAAAATGCTTAATTCATATAGTTTCTATTTCACAAAATAATTATTCATTTATCAGCAAATGAAATTTTCTTACAATGAGTGCACCATGAACACCACTGCCTCTTAAGTTTGGAGCATATTCTGATAAGTCAACTGTGCGCAGCCATTCCATAACTCGATGATTGCTCCACAAGGCAACAAGCTCAGGAGTATACACTTTACTCTTAAAAAACAAAATATTAACATATTATTTCACTTAAAACTCTGATGCTTTAAAAAATTATCAGTATATGATGAAACATTTTTAAAGTACAGAATCGAGGCTACCAGTGGCCTAGAATTCAGTTTTAAAGTCTGACAATTTTTAAATACTAGAAACTTTGTGGAAGATTTTCTACTATCTGCCACAATGACAATTCTAAAACTGAGGGACAATTAAAGTTAGCTTACAACTTTGGTGATTGCAGACAAAATTTGGGCATTACAGCCAACTGGTTTCCTCATTAAACATTGAAACAACTACCATAGATTATCTTTTTTTTGTTAACTTTAATAAAATATTTTGGATAAAGAAACTAACTTGTCAAAATGAAAAATTAACTTTGTACTATTTTAATTGAGTACAACTGTAATAATTCAAAGTTTGGTACACTTCTGTTTATGAGAGCGAGCCAAAATGTGTCCAGATGAGCCAACTATAGCAATATTGTACCATAAAGAGTGCCAAACACCGTGACTCAACATGTTTTGATCCAGAGATGTTTTTTGCAATAAATTTTTTGAGAAGGGAACGGAGAAGGATTTTAAGATTTGGCAACTGCAAAATGATGCAAAGTCTGTCGTTAAATTTTTTCAGGAAAAGGAATTGGTCCAAGTGAGAGATATTTTTCAAATAATCACTATTATAACTTTGAGCAGCAGTGAATCTTCAGCATATTTTTAGATTATCAGTCTATCTCAACTTATATTTTACTTGAATTTTTTTTCAATGGGGACTCTAGCCATTCATAGCTGTTGGCCACTATTAAGGCCAGAAGTGGTGGTCTCTGTATTATGGAAGCACCATTACCAACAGGTAAGCCACCATTACCTCCTATAAAGAGATACACAAATGACATCTATGCCTTCTTGAGGATCTGAACCCCTGCCTTTTGCCATGGAAGTCAGAGTTACTAACCACTTTCCCATCTGGGTAGCATTTTGCTTGAAATAATGACACTAAATTTCCTGATTGTTAATGACTTGGTTGTGACTTAATTAGTCATTGACTTAATTTGTGATAAATACTGCTCCTTTGTGACAAAGATCTGCAATTCTTTAATATTATTACAACTAGTACTTTTTCTCATATCAGATTGCAAAGTTCTAAATGTCTGCACAATTTATCTTCAAATAATAGTGAAAAAACTAATTTAGAACAATAAAACGATATGACTGATCAAGAAACCACAACCCTGTGCAATTTCAGGAAAAGAGGACTCTAACTAGAACAAGAACATTCTAAAGTTTTTAAATTAAGCATTGTAAATAGATGTTTAACATATGTAAAAAATGTTTTACATACTTTTTATCGTATAAAATTTTAATATAGTTAATAAATGTATTTACGTATATCTGTAAATAAAGTAAAAAAGATATTAATGGCTGTTATGTAATTTTATTTTTATGTTTTTTCTTCTGAAACTTTTTGTTCATTAATGACCTGAAAATCCAAACTAAAATCTGCGAAATCCCAAGAACGCCAAGTTTATCTTCTACTGTTATTTGAAAAAATGTATAATGCTTACAAATAATTAACAATGATAAAATTTTACCAACCTATTACATTCTACATGTAATTAAATATATTAACACTATCATTTAAAAAATTGAATAAATATACTGAAGGAGAATGTTGGTACCTCATCTGGAAGAGAGCGTCGTATTAAACAGTGTGGATCAAAACCTTTCTCTCTCAATAGCTGAATTCCACATCTGATACTTATATGATGCAACTGGCTAGTTACTTTCAAAAACATTAAGTCATCCTAAGTTAAATATATAAAATGCATGATTACACAAATACATTTTAATGCAATAACAAACACACAAATAACAGAAAAAACTGGTACCTAATGCAATAAAAATGAATTGTACTCACAACTGTAATGCAATGCAAAACACGACCATCAACCCTTGCCTCAGTAAAAGCATCTTTGTACTGTGGAAGGCCCACATCATCCAGCCAACGAACTACCCAGTGATAGTCTAGAGCATTAATTGCTGATGGCAAATTTGACAAACCAGAACTTTTAATGGCTAATAATAATTTCTTTTTATGTAAAGGATTTTTCATATTCAGTTCCTAACAAAAGTGGAAACATACATATGTAATAATAATTTTAAAAAATTGTGAAATCGAGACACACAATATTATATCTATATTACAAAAGTCACAAGCAAATGAAAAAATGCTCATTTTTGGTATTTTGGGCTAATTTTAGGTTAGTGTTTTGTCTGATTATATAAATATACTATATATACTGTGAAGAGGCAAAACATTATGATCACCTTCTAAATAACGTGCTGTCTAAATAACAATGTTTGGATTGCAGCTGCAACTCACCTTGGCATGGATGCCACAAGTTCTTGGAAGATGACTGGAGATAGGTTGTACCAAATGCCCAAGTGGCAGTCATGCAAATTCAAGATATTTTCCACTGTGGAGGTATTCTAGCTTTGAGCTGCAACTCCATGACATCTAAAATATGCTATGTCATGTTAAGATACAGTAAATTAGGGGTCAGGACATTCACTGGAATGCATCCTTATACATCCTCATTCACCTGGAAGATGGTGTACGCTGACACAACCATCAATGTGATGAATCAGAAATCCTGATTTTTCCAAGGAAACTGCCTTCAACTTATCCATGGCTGCCTTCAACTTATCCATGGTCTCCTTTCAGTGTTTTCAGGCCCACTGTAGGTGTAGCTGAGAATGACACTTTGTCATCGCAGGCACAGGAGTGGGACATCTGCTGCACAATCCCATATCCAACATCTGCTGAACTGTGTGTTCTGAAGCACTAGCACTAGGACCTGCATTGTATTGGGCTGTCAACTGAGTCACTATCTGGCACCAATTTTGCTGTACCAAGCAGCACAGTCTTCGACATCCCTTTTTCCTCCAACATCTTGGCATTTACTCTTGGTTTTACTTCCATTTATCACTTTGAAATACTAGCAATGGCAGCTCATGAACAACCTACCAGTTGTTGATACTCGTTCCGAATTTTCGGCCATTTCAACCTACCCTTTATCAAACTCATTTAAATCAGCAACCTTTCCCATCACTCGCAAAAGTAAGTGCAAGAATGATTCCTTAGTTTCGCTATCAGTTAAACACCATTCCCACTTAATCATGTGGCCTGCACATCATCCAGAGTTCACTAAGTTCACTGAAAAATGTAAGGATGGTCATAATGTTTTGGCTCATCAGTGTAGTTGCCTTTAAGTTGGAATGCATAACTTTAGAAAATGTAAAAATATCCTTAATTTAAAGGGTAAAATTCCAGAACAATAGCACCTGAAATTTTATCATTCAAATGCAAAATTATGCCTATATTACAGCAATTAAAAATATAAAACAAAAACCATAGACAAAAGAAATAGTACAAATTTTTTGGAAGTCTCTTCTTTTGTTAAATAAGTATATTAAAACATAACTATATAACTTTACTACAGAGCAATCTCCTGACATTTAATTCTGCAATTTAGCATACAGTAATTTTATCACACTAATATGGTAAAGATTTGAAATTATGAGATGCCACTTTAAAGCAAAGAATTCAACTGAATATGAGAAATGATTAGAAGTTTTTCCTAATCATTTGACACTACTTTTAGATAGTTTAATAACTAAAATCATTTTTCCCCCTTTAAAACTTGCAAACTTTACATTCTGAACAGGTTTCTAATAGATTCTGGTCACAAACTGCATATTTATTTATACTTGATAACACAGCCAAAAAGCTTTATATTCATGGAATAAGTCAGGATTATATTACATATTTTAAAACGTAATTTTGTGATTTTAAAACGTAAGACTTAGCAGAGGTCAACTGCATTACAAAATTATAGTCATAAAGTACAAAACTTGATAAAACTTCATAACTGTCATTTGAAATTCATTAAAATTCATTTGAAATTTATCAAAATGCAAAGCAGAAAGCTACTACATACTTTTTCAAGGTCGGAAGCTGTAGCTTTTATAAGCATCTCTCCATTACACATCCACCTTTTGCATTCACTTATGTACATACTTAAACCCAACCTATGCAACCATTCGACTATCATATCCGCACTCCATCGATTAAACGGAATGCTAAAGGAAAAGAAAACAGACAAACTAGTAATGACAACAAATTATCTTTCCTAACATAAAGAATATAACAACCAAACACATGCACAAAATTAAAAAAAAGAAAATAGTAAAAACCTCTGAAATATGATGTTTTCTCCTGTGATAATTACATTTCTTGACAGTAAGAAAAGGTCATACATATTAACTAATGGTTATGCTATCAACTACAGCATGTATTTCAAGAAAAGCTAATTTCTCTTAATGTTTTATAAGTTTTATAAATATATGTTGTCATTCTTGATGGCAAGATATACGAGGGTAAGTTGAAAAATAAGTTTCCCCTGTCGACTGTGGTCAGAGTTGTGTATGAAAGTCAAAAAATAGAATGAGACATTAAAGATATGAATACTTTATTTTTCCAATAGGTACCAAGTACGTTGAGACATTTGTCATATCGCTTGATAAGCTTCAAAAAGCCCTCCAGGAAAAAATCAGGGGCTTTGCATATGGGAAGAAGCGTTGAACGGCTTGTTTTCCTTCAGTATTGCTTCCAAAGTGCCTTCCCCGAAATTTTTCTCAAAGCTGGAAACAGATGGAAGTCACTTGGACGAATCAGGACTGTATGGCGGATGGTGTGTAGGGCTCCCAACCAGAGTTGCAATATGGTTTTGCATTGCGTTGCCGAATGTGGTCTGGCATGTCATCCAACAGCAGAATGCAGATGCGAGAAGGCCAGGCGCTTCTTCCGAATCCCTCTTTGAATTCGACAGGGTGTCACAGTAGCGCGTAGCATTGATGGTTCCAACCTCCAAAAGTCCAGCAACAAAACTCCTGGGCATCCCAGAAAAACTGTGGGAGACTTTACCTGCAGAGGATTGTCTTGAACTTCTTTCGGACAGGTGATGACGAATGTTTCCACTCCATAGATGCGGCCTTCGATTCTGGCGTGAAATGGTGGACCCGTTCATCCCCCGTCACAATCCGAAACAGAAAGTCATGCCATCTTCATGGTAACGCACGAGATGTTCCAGGCTGACCCCCATGCGTTGTTCCTTGTGGTCGAGGTCAATGTGGGGCACCCACCGTGCTGACACTTTTCTGTATCGAAAGAATGTGTGGATGATGTTTTGAGCTCGCTATGTGAGATTCCAAGTTTTTCCGTTACTTCACGTGGTGATATCCGGTTTGCTCTAATCATGTCATCCACCTTCCGGACATTTGCATATAGATAGGCCGTGCGCGTCCGTTTAGCTCTCGGTATGTCTCCACTTGCTGACGTCCATCACTGAATGTGCGACACCATTTTCGCACCATTTGCTTCGACATCACACCTGGCCCATAGACTTCCCGAGGCGGTTATGAATTCTGTCCTGATAACGTGCCATTCATAGCGGATAACAGCTCTCACTTTCTCCTTTGACCACGAATTCAAAATGCACCTCTCTCCATAACCCGGGGCTCAAATGAGAGGCTGGTCTCCGCTTGCGCAGGCACTGCAACAGCGCCTCTGCTTGATTTGCAGCGACCTCTACCCAATGGTGTATCGGTGACTTGCGCGTTCCTGCTGTGCGCCTTCGCCCATACGTTCCATGCTTCTTCCATATGTAAAGTGTGAATTTTTTTGGAGACTTTTGAAGCTTATCAAGCGATATGACAAAGTCTCAACGTACGTACGCGAATATAAAATAAAGGTATGTCATCTTTAATGTCTCATTCTATTTTTTGACTTTCATACACAACTCTGACCACAGTCGACAGGGGAAACTTATTTTTCAACTTACCTACGTATATCTACCAACAGAAAACTGAACTATCCCAATAACCAACTGGGATAACATTATGCAGGTTTGTTTTCCTGCAGGGGGATTCATTAGTTTTATTAACAAGTGGCAGAATACATTAATAAAGTAAATGTGCTTCACAATTGTTTACTGATGTTTTAAGTCTTAGAAGTTTCCTGGACAACAAACATCTGCAGAACTGAATATAAAAGGAAGATCCTTGGCACAAGATCTTTTCAAGATTTTTGCACAAGGCTTTGATGCTCTTCAAGAAAGAACTGCCACTATGCACGAATTTTTAACATGTCAGATGTTACTTACTTATTTATTTATTATTAAAAATTCTAAGATGTATATGTGAAAATGGTAAAAGATAAAATTTCTTTTTTAAGAGAGGCGAACTGATATTAGTATTTCCCAATATATTTAAATTTCTTATTACCAGTTATTTACTTTACACATAGTATATTATTAGATTTCTATAGATTGTATGTATCATTACACAGCATTGTAAAATAAAGTTAGCGTTATCATCACATTTGTCATCACTTCTTGAAAAATAAATTGCCCCTCAAAAAGCAGTTTCTCTCTATAATTTCGTTTTTGATGATATCGACTGTGAATGGGGTACAGTTCTAATACTGGAAATTCACATCAAATTTGTATCATGCGAGTCCATGGCAGTATATATGACCAAAATGGTGACCCATGAGACCTCCAACTTAATTGACTTCAATGAAATATGGGTTTTACCCACATTGTGAAGAATAATGAAATATCACTTTTTCTGAACAAAAGGTGAACAGTCAGTATGCTTAAAGCCTAACACACTAAGACAAATGATGAAATCACTAAAATGCACATACACGATAACTAAAATTACTTTCTCAATTTTTGCACTTAGATCTCAATGCATTTAACAAACTAATCTATTAAGCCTCGGATTCCAGAAGAAGAGGGAGAGAGTCTTACCACAGCATTCAAACCATTCCAAGAACTTAATGTTTCATATCATTATCAAGATGACATGTGCTATGTCTTGAAACAACGATTCTAATGAATGTAGCAGATATACAAAAAGCTGAAATCCAGGCGGAAACGCGATGGGGAACTGAGCACTTATATAGAGCGTATACAGCAAAAGTGATATTTTCGTGAAGTGGATAGCATTTACAATTTTGGCTTTTCATCATTGAGTCAACAGGTTAGGAAACTGAACACCTATTACCATGGTAATATGCGACATATAAAAAATATGCAGCGGTACCTATTTATCCCAAAATATAATGCTCTGAAACTTCACAGCAAATTTCACTCTAAACCTAATCACGGAAAACTAGTGTGTATCCATATCATGCTATCTTATCAAACCATTCCAAGAACTTAATGTTTCATATCATTATCACTAGTATGAACATGTGATTAGTTCTGAAACCACTGATTTAATGAAGTAGCAGATATACAAAAGCGAATCAGTGCTGAAAGCAGACTGGGGAAGATGAGAGTTAATAGAAGCGTTATCAGCAAAATGATCATTTTCGCTGAATTGGTATATCATTTTACAATTGGGTTTCATCATTGAGCCACAGGTTAGGAAATGAACACAATTCATTGTAATATGCGCATAAAAAAAATATCAGCGGTACCTATTATCCCAAAATATAATGCTCTGAAATTCACAGCAAATTCACCTAACTTATTCACGGAAAAAACTTGTGTATACAATCATGTATCTTATTCATCTGGATCACAGCAATAAGGCTGTGTTTCATCCGTCACCAAAGTGAATAAATTTTAGATGGCATTATCCTGGACGAAATTTGAAATGAACTGATGTTTCTATTTATGTATAATAAGAGGCTGTCGCACATTTTTAGACGATTTGTAACGGTAATAAAAAAAGGTTTGCTGCAAAAGAAGAATGCAATTGTATATTTTTAAAGTCAATATAGTCTGTGCTTGAAAGTTTTGCTTTATTCAAAATGGCGATTTAACAAAGCAGTGGTTCGAGGCTACATTTACGCTTTCCAAGAAAATATGCATACTCGTTATCAAAAACGATGGGCAGTCGGGGTTTTGATATCTAAAGCTCGATAGGTAATATCATCAACAAGAAAGGAAAAAAATTCAAATTGGAGCCTCAAGTGGGACAAAAAATTCCAAACAAGATCCAAGGAAAAAACGGACATCTTCGACTATTGCAAGGGTACGTTGTTTTGTTAAAAGAAAACCCCTCGTAAAGGACATTTGCAAAATTATTAAAATGCCGGTGTCCACAGTAAACAAAATGAAATGTTGATTTAAATCTTAAGAAAGCGAAAAAATGCGATGGCATCTTTTCTTCCAAAGCATATCGCTCAACACAGGACACGCTGCAGAATTCTATATGAAAAACACTTATCCAAAGAAAAATGGAAAACAATTCTCCCATTGTAACAAAAAAAGAGCCATTTATTATCATAAAAGGGGAGAAAAAAATTTAAGTACATGGTTCAAAGAATTGAAAGAAAGTTTTTCTGAGGGATTCATAATAGTTGCTGGTTTTTCTTATAATGGCAAGTTAAAAATAAAGACAGTGCAAAAAAATGTCAAGATTAACACCAAATAACTATCAGGAAACATATTTTATCGCCAATTTTTCTGAATTAAATACATCGCTTTACCCACATTGCCATCAATGTGAGACTCCATCAGGACAACTAGCAGTCACACAGCAAAATCCATGTAAATTTCTAAAGAAATATACAAAAAACTGGTCCAAGGCCATATCCTCAATGATATCCTATAAATTCTGATGTGTCACCTATGGATTTTTGCTTTTGGACTTTGAAAAACTGCATTATCCAAACGTTGTCAAAACCCAACAGGACGTGGAAAACTGTTCGGGAGCAATGGGATAGAATACCTCTTTGCCACTTCAAAAGCGTATTATCCTGGAAATTGCGGTGTCAAAAGAAAGTTCAGAATAAGGGATGTCAAATAGAACATTTTAAACACAAGAATTTTATGTAATTTAGTTTTGTGAATACAATATACATCGTCTAAAAAATGTGTGAACAGCCTAGCCTCTGTATTCTACACTGTTATAACTGAGACAGTCTTGAAAATGTTTCAGATACCCATGTATATATGGCTACCAATGTTAGCTTAAGAATAAGGATGGTAAAAGAGGGAAATTACACATAAATCTAAAAATTTATGATCATTTTGATAAATTGAATAACATTTTGGGTCTTTCAA